ACTAGATAAGAGAGTGAAATTGGTATTTAAGTAGGAACATTTTTGGTAATAAACACGGATTGAATCCACTTTAATCAAGAGTTTTCATTTGCGATCCAGATCAAGAACCTGAACAATACAGTCCACCGAACAAGAGCTAGAACACCAACATCCATGTTCGAACAAGCTTGGAAATTCGTTACTAAATTAAAAATTGACATAGTTTTTTTTTAGAACATACAAGTAGAAAATTGCCGTGATGGTTTGACTTACCGCCCCTGAAGCAGAAACCGTGGGTTCGAATCCGGACTCGCACCTCTGAATTTTTCGGAATTTATGTACGAAATCTAATTTGAAATTAACTATGAGCTTTTCGGTAAAACAAAAGGAAGGTCGAAGGAGGTTCACAAACCTCGGATAACGTGTGAAGTCCCCAAACCACATTGGGCCAGTGTGGCGGATGGTTGATGATGATGATGATGAAGAAGAAAATAATATTAAAAAATCAAATTGGGTATAAACAAACACTGTAAATTGGACGAGAATAATGTTTTCTATATAATTATATATTTAATATATGTGTACACTATACTGTTACGTAAAACGCAACAATCATCGAAATCAAATTACACTGCACGACCGTCTAATGAAACTACTAAACAATTATTAACTCGACAACAATAATCACAACATAGCATTTCAACAATTGCGTCCTTGCAAGTGACTTATGGGGTCTTGAACCAGTTTGTTATGTATCTAAAAATAGCTCTTATCAGATATTTGTGCAGGCGGAATGCAGGACTTCTCTACCTTTCAAGCTGGTAAGTAAATCCTACAACCAGTCGTGGTGACTTTTCAAACTACTGATTTGCATAGAATTCAACTGTAATGTGACAGAGGTATATAATTGACGACCTATTTCACACGGTGGTAGCTTATTATGCAATACTACACAACGCAATCACATTAGTACTGGGGTAAATAGTTTTGCTGGCATCAAAACTAAACTACATAAAGCATTGAGTAATTATTGATTCTAAGGTTACAGTTCTCCATCACCAGCACCCTTCTACCTATTTCTATTTCTATATATATTTCTACGGTGGCAGTACTTCCCTGGACGAAATCTTTCCTAAAGAGCTCTACTGCTTCTGCTACTAAATAAATTCTATACTCACAACTATCATATGTAAAATATCATAAAATTATATTCCATAAACATACCAGCGTTATGAGTATGAAATGAACACCACTGTTAGAGCTTTTCACATGACATCGATAGTTGCGCGTTCAACGCACTTTTGCTAACGTATATTTGTACGCGTATAACGCTTGTCGTCTAGGAGTTTACACTCGAACTCCATCCGACATCCGTCCGAAACAATTACTGTCAAATAAGTAATATTCGACAAAATTAAACTACAAGTGTCCAGTATGAAGTTTCATTCGCATCACGCGTCTTTTAATTTTGTCGAATATTACTTATTTGACAGTAATTGTTTCGGACGGAGATCGACAGTAGACCCCTGAACAGGGCTTAAACACTGAAGGCCACTCCTAACTGACAAACTATCGCATTTCACACAGAACACAAGACTATGTTGACCAATCCCTTGTTGAGAATTGAAAGTTGTATGCTCTGGGCAATAAAGACAAAAAGTATCTTCTAAAGAACTGACCCAAACACTTTTAGGTACGTGCCGCATTCTGTTACACAACAGAACAGAAGCAATGCGGGAAAATATCCGACGTGCTTTATGGCTCCAATGTTCACCGAGTGGCTTTTTCTAAAGCCTCAGGTAGTAATTGAATATACTCCTATACTTGTCGGTACAGTTAGTGTACAGGTACCTTTCTTATGTAACCCATTGTCTGCTCTATAGCCTAGGGTGTGGTTATAAAAACGTAACCATGCAACATAATGATGTAAATTGACTTTCTCTTGCATGTAATATAACATCAATAGCTACAATATCTGCCATAAAGAAATATAAGAGGTGGGTAACTACTTCGTAACTATCATAAAATATGTCTGTTCCGATCTTTATAGTCTGAAAAGTATTCCAAATGTAACGTTAAATTATAAAACAAATTGTTCCTTGAATTCATTGTTTTGTACACTTCTCAGTACATTATAAATTTACAAAGAATTTTGTTTTATGTTAATAATAATATACTTCACGAAATATTATTTACGCCGTTAGTATTAGATATAACTAAATAACCGGTTTCTTTTTTCAATTTGTGTGTTTCAGTTTCAATAAACCTAAAACTTCTGCTTTTACAAAAAATGTGAAAAGAATAAACAGTCTCTTCCTTGCTTTTTGTTTTTTTTTTTCTATTTTTTTTGTCGTCGTGTGTCGTGAATTATATTTGCTATTGCTTCATATTTGTACTCATTTCCATCATCTTTCTCACTTCATTCCCATACAGTCCATATCGTTCACTTCATGTGTATTATTGTAACGTCTTGAGATAACTGTGATTTTTGGAAACAACAAATGTCACGTGGCTCACTGCAAAGACTGATTCAGAGACCATTAGACTAACTCTATACGGTTTGTTGTTCATTTCTACAATTTAAATTTTGATTTTGACATTTTATCCAAGAGTACCCACCGCATCTATTTGGGTATGCATTATGAAGTTGAATCAAATCGGTAACTTTGGTCGAGATGAGTAGGCGGTAATTTAAGCCTGAACTCTACTTTGATATTGACCAGGATGAGGGCAATGCCTTCTAAATGTACTGACGTATTTGGTCAACCTATGTCTGCAGTCCAAATGTAGGCGTGTTTAAAATTAGTTACGGTGATGTAATTACCTTACAAGGCTTTTACTTTATTGATGCTTAAGTAAATGTAAAGTAATTATAACTTTTTTATTAAAAAAAGATCTAAAAGTTTCAAGTTTCATTGAAATCGGTTAACAGAAATTAGGAGAAATCCAATAAACTGAATTCATCCCCTAATTTGGCACTCTTGCAGGTGGAGTATTTTCTTCAAATTTCAATGGGACCACTACTGAGGAATCCCTTTCTGACAAAAAATAATCATTGAAATCGGTTCTCAAGCGTTGAAGTAATCGCGTAACATAAACACACAAATGTAAAGTACCTTACCTATTTCTAACGCCAAGCAGTAATGTCTGCATTACTGTGTTCCGGGTTTGAAGGGTAAGGGTGCTAGTGAACCTACAGGCATATGGGACTTGTCAACTTATGTTTCAGGCTGACGGGCGCAGTAGCAGTTCGTCTCAGATCTTTGAGATTTAAAGCTCTGAGTAGCACTGCAACTGTTATGGACAGGCGTATAGATTACCACCAGGCGCACGACTTGTTCGTCCCATCACTTACTTGAAAACTTGAAAAATACAGCCAAATTGAGGACCTCCCCCTTATTTTGAAGCTGGCTGAAAGCATGACTTTGTTTCTGTGTTTATGACTTCTTTTTGTGCACATTTTCCACTGGTTTATATTATTTGCATATTTTTTTATCCTAACTCTTGCTATATTCATTTTTATTTTCGTTTATACATGAACGTAACATTCATGTCACATTTTTCTTTTCGTTATCCAGTGGCATAGGTTGGGTCATGTGGAGTGCCACGGCTTCGAGCGGCATGAAAGGCGGCATTGGGAAAAGTATTTAATAAAATGTGTTAACAACACGTAAACGTGTACTTAGCGCCATCTGTTTTTCCCAAAAAGTGAAATAAAAAAAACGCGCCGCACAATATACTGTAACGTATTACCGTATGATAACTGCCGTGTGAAGTCGATAGATCTGGCCTGAGAGAGGCAACAGCAAGCGAGCGATAATGCAAACCTATAATTGTCATATAGGTAATTAGAGTCTATTTTCGAACCAAATATTGTTGGCTGTTAGAAATACACCTTTATATCCTTTCGTACCGTACAGAACGCGATGTTGGTCGAATGTCGCGTCTATGTATCGCACTAAGGCATATTAAGGCCCTTTTATTAGCAGTAGAGCTTCTTACGAAGTACTGCCACCTTTCCTATTTCTGCCGCCAAACAGTAATGTGAACATTATTGCTTTCCTGGTGAAATTGCGGTGCTGGTGCTACAAGCACATGGGACTTGTCAACTTATGTCTCAAGCTGACGGGCGCAGTGGCAGTGCCCCTAAGATCTATAATACATTTTTTCTCTAGGAAAAATAAGAAATTCTTTGCATGATATTAAAAAAAAATCAAATCTGGCATGTTAAAAGAATAAGCACCAAATTACGAAATACAAAAATGACGCGCAGAAATGATTCCAAATGAGTACTGTTTCGCTCACATAGATAACCGCGTTCGCGCCACGTAAGTACATATAGCAGCAATATTATCAATTACGGAACATGGCCATACGGCTGGGTAAAATAGACAAATCTGAATATCTTAGCTATCGCACAACAAGTACATACTACTATTGAAAATCCCTTTAAAACATTACCTTAAAGTATACCTGCAAAAATAAAATATTTAAATTTCAAAGAAGTTTTTGGACCCCAATTTTATTCATATAATTTAATTCTAATTTTAGTTTATAGTATTTAAGCTTTTATAGTACTTTACCTGCGTATTTTAAAATAAAAAAGATTAATATTCTGTCCAGGGGCCTGGGTGTAAATTTGTAATTATTCAAACTTGGTAACTACCGCGTTTGCGTTAACATTTTTATTTAGATTTAAATTATAATCTTAACATATTTGAAAACTTACACTAAGGTCCCAAAGAATATGAATCAAAAAACTACGTTACGCTACTGGTTTTTTAGGCCCATTAAAATAACTAAAGAGATGCTAATCGGTTAAACTGTGCTAACAACAGCTTGGCAACAGTACCTACTTATGACGTAAAAGAGAAATTGGTCGGACGTAAAATTGTACATCGTACTTTCATTCATCTTTGTCTAAAGTTGCCTAATCATACCCTTGGTAGTGTATTATTATATATTTCCATAATAGCTAAAATAAGCAATACAATAT